TCACACCATCTACCGTTTTGTTTGTACTGCACTATTGGAATACAATGGTACGACCCTAGTCCGAATGGTTCCGAATACAAGGGAATATCTAGGACACTGCAAGTCTATAACCTATGTCCCAGGTGAGAACTGGCCTTCAGTTAAATCGTTAGACAATCGAAATATAGAGTTAAAGATTATGGAGAACTTTAGCAGATTATCTACTCACCCCGGAGTAATTTATAAATGGGGTTACGGAGTGTCCAGTATACAACATGGTGTTTACTTCTATGGTACACCGCGTCATGCCCTCCCACTACAAACATGTAAACACCACATAACCTATAAATGACCCCTGGATACGGTGAATGGTGACCAGTAGTAAATAACAGAAAAACTCGGACGTTGTTTAGATAATGAATATACATATTAAACCGTCAGTTCACAAATTCGTAAAACAGTCAAACAGTGAATAGTTTAAACATTTTGTTGAAAGTAGAGGAATATATGAAAAGTGAGTTTAAAAACAAACATTTGATCAACAGTGAGGCGCGCATCGAAAAAAAGGAAATTATTTTGTTCGACCATTTTTTATGATTTAAGTAGACGAATTTCCATCGCGGAGACAGGTGTAGATTTTCAAAATAAAGTCGGTCACCCACTGACTGATGTCTAGCCCTGTGGCGGTCATCAGTGAATGGTCCTGGCCATTAACCTCTGTGGTTAGCACTGTAAACACGTCTGTTCTGTGGTCATGTTGTAAAGCTTACAACAAGACAAGTCAGGAGTAAGCTTGTTTCTAACAAAGGCTGTATGGATTTTTTTCACACTATCTACCGTTTTGTTAGTACTGCACAATTGAAATACAAGGGTATCTGACCTAGTCCGAAGGGTTCCGAATACAATACCGTATCTAGGACAATGCAAGTCTATATCCTATGTCCAAGGCGAGAACTGGCCTTCAGTTAAATCTTCAGACAATCGAAATATTGAGTGAAAGATTATGGAGAACTTAACAGATTATCTACCCAGGCCGGTGTAATTTACAAATGGAGGGTAATGTGTGTCCAGTAGACAACAAGGTGTTTACTTCTATGGTACACCGCGTCATGTCCTCCCACAACATACATGTAAACACCACATGTTTCACCTATAAATGACCTCTGCATACGGCCAAATGGTTGACCAACACTAAGTAAAACAAAATCTTCGGACGTTGGATAAATAAGGACTCTATAAAAGAGTCATATGTCAATGATACTTTTCAATACAAATTAGAATACAATCGATACAACAGAACAGCGGAGAATAACATTATCAGGGACTCGTCAATGATACTATAGGGTTTAATGAATGCCTAAACGGCTAAAGACGAATAGGAACATCAGTTTAAATGTTGGTTATTTATGATGATATTCTGACCTGACAGCTGTTTGATACAGATTCTTTCATTACTTGTCTCAGTTTTGGCGGTTTTCACTTGTGTCTTCTTTCGTTCAAGTTTGGTCCTATTTATAACTTGTTTCATACCGGATTTACAGAAATTTTCAGTGAGATCTTGTGCCAAGACTTTGAATAAAAATAGATAGTTAAGGAAACATGTAAATCTATTTGGGAAATTATTTTTAGAACCAACAAGTAACTCTGTGAATCATATTTTTAAATGTACATTACATTTGTGTAGTGAACGTTTTAACCTCGTCACCGGCTAGCGGACCCAGACGCCCTGTTTGGTGCATACACCAACAAACGTGGAAGACACATGATTTTTTTGGTCACGTTTTCTTTCATCACGTTTTCCTAGACTCCTGGATAGAAACGCCGGCGAATTTAGTTTGAAATACATAACTTGATTTACAAATATGTTAATTTGATAACTCAAAAATAACCGAGACATATGATAAATTCCGTGTGGTGGTTCACGGTAAATCAGACTCCTATCTAGGACTGTTATAATCAATGGGATAAGTTATGGGATGTTAGGTTTACGGTAAGTTCCTGGTAACATGGCGTCATCTCATTAAGTGTAGGCAGTTTTCTGTCGGCCTCATTATCAACTGTTTATCGCGAAATGAAGAAATAATATTCTGATCCAAAATTTACAATAGCATTTTTTTCAATACCAAAAACATACAAGTCAAAAAGTACATTAACCAAGAGACACAATTTTTGTCATGTCTCCATGGCACTCGGTTATAGCATCAACAATAATTCAAAATTTCCTTTTAAAAAATTGTGTTATCACTGGGGTCCACTTGTACGATTTGTGGCGCTTACAGAAAATATTTGTACGTGTGGAGTTGTAAACTGCACTGATTTTTTGTTAATAATTCACGCCTAATTATCAGAAAATAACAGCATCGGTAAATGAAAACGATTTTTTTATACTACAGACAAACTTCGTTAACTCGAAGTCAATGGGGTCGTGAAAAAAGAATTCCATTTATCCGAGTATTTTGTATAATATATAGCCTTCGGAAGTAACAAAGATGGGTTATAATTTACCGAGACGTGTGCCAATTTCTAGATACCTGTGGAAAGGGTGCTTTAATTGTGTCTGATGTTGTGGTGCTTTGTTGTTTTCTTTTATTTATTTCAATATGTTTATGTCTATCTTTTTATCTATCCTTGTACAGTTTCTATATAGAATACAGAACAAAGTCAAAGAAATAGAGGACTCTGACTCCGAGGATTGCTCCTGAAAATATGTCTAGCCCTCTGTATTCCAATAGGAAATGTTTGTATGGGGAAAAATAAAAACATAAAAAGCTAAAAACAATAATAAAATAATAATAAATAACACAAAAAAAAAAAAAGATCGCTCTATGATAATATGTATGGACTTTCCGATAGGAAACATCCATACAAGAGAAAAAAAGGTCCACTCCCTGAGAATATATATGGCCCTCTATATTCCCATCGGAAACATCGGTATGGAAATCCAAGGGACAGCAAAACAAACCGGAAACCGGACTCCAGGATTGCTCCCAGTGAATCTTTATAACGCTCTATATTTCAAAAGGAAACTCCTGTCACAGAAAACGTGGAAATTACCAGATATATACAGTGTTTTGGAGGATATTATCCGACTGAAGGAAACCCTTCAGCTATAAGTAATTATAAAACCAATGACGTCAGTGATGCAGGTGCTCGGTGTAAGTAGGAGGCAATGAGGAACGAATCATCACATTCTAGGTTTCTTCAAGGATATTAGTGAGATGAAACAGCTTACCTTAATGACACATGCGATTTAGTCCCACTCCTTATTATGCAAAAGAGGTCATTCGCTCTTCTCTTACAATTCTGGTTGTTATCAAAATAGAAGGAGAAGACAAATATTGTGAAATAAAAATTTAATAGTTTTTTTTTTTTTAAATTGAAGTTACCAACTACAATTTGGCTATGTAACATGGAAGGCCAAGTTATTTTTTTATATTTGTGATTAAATGTAAAACTCCTTACAGATATCTATTGATGCTACGTCAGTGAAATATGTCTCTATTTCTACAGAAATGCTATTGCGATTCAAGTTAAAACTTATTACTTAGAGATATATATTAATGCCACGTCACCGAGATGTTTCTTTTCCTAACTGAGACATTTCTTTATCTTAAAATGCCTCTAAAATACATTAAGTATGTTATCTTTACACCATCCCAAGATATTTGCATTAATACTTTTTCGACACGTAATAAAAAATTCATTCTGTTTGCATTAACATCAGGCATATTATACAGCACAATACAAGCTCTATTAATATAACCCTACGTAGCTTCTTCATATGTCATTGATAAGCCTCTGACCTGGCTTTATCAAAACCCCTATGGAACCCGAGAGAAAGTCCCCTATAGCATCCACATTACCCTATAATAACGATATATGACCCTAAATTTTCTATATATATAAAATTATAATACACAATATCTCTATAAACTCCATATAATTCTACAACCCCAATATATAACCATACAGTCTGTTAATGATCCATTCAACCTTCATATACTCCTGTAAATTCTATTTATCTCTTCAACCTCTTTTAAACACAGTACAGTTTCTATACTCCTGTCTTACTAAGGTGATTTCCAATTTGTTTTTTTGTTTTTTTTTTAAAGTTACAAAGCGGAAGATTGGCTGTATATGACTTGTTTCAACTAAAGCTCGCGGAAAATGTGCAGCAATTTCAATCATTTGTCATGGTGCAAAAATATGATTATTGTAGAATTAACATGGTACATGTTATATGTTTATCGTTAACTGTCTAGTAACCGAGCCGGCTGGCCCCATTTAACTACTGCTGACCTCATATTTGATGTAAATACACGTGATCAAGACATACACGTGGCTATGTTTATCTTGACCAGCCGGAACACCTCACATTAGCGAATATAACTGGAAATGCATTCTAAAACAACAGTGACTATCCAGATATGTGCATAGTCGACAGGACTGATCATGGCCACTGATTTTTATGTAATAACAAATCTCACATTCTTTCCCGCAATTCGAGGCGGGAGTTTCCTCAACCGCGGCTGGCCCCAGAACCCTAGGCAGTCGAGGGTTGCATAGTTTGGTCCATGTCTTTACAATATGAATAACTTTATAAAAAAAATAACCTGTGGTCCATTGGGCATGTCTGATTCTTACTAAAGTATCCAACCTTTCTTCTTAGCCCATGATCATGACATATGTATATGTGGTCCTGTTTGGGGATTCTTGCGGAAGTAGATTCTATCACAGACTTACATATATATTTTTGAATCTAGTTGCCCACCTAGTAACTAAAATGATGTTATGGATTCAATAAAATAGACCTAAACCTGTGGTCCGTATTATAAACCATTTGTAGTATTTCTCAGAAGAATAGTAATATTGCTATACACCTATAGTGATTCATTTAAGTCGCCTTGGCGGAATTACCTATTTATCTCTGTGTTCACGTGAACGCGTCGTGAGAAAAACTTCCTCGGCCTTGGCCTTCGTCAGCCAATCAAATCACAGTTCACAAAATAGCTTGGCTGTACAACGTTGTTATATGTTATATTTCGATTACTCTTTGAAAAGTAAACATCGTGGAGCTTGCATGGCGTCAAATGACCAACTTATCCACCTGGCTGCTGGAGGGTAAGTTGAAATAGATATTATTTGTTGTACACATAGATTTATAATATGCCTATTCTTAATGTTTCAGGAAGCTTATAAACTTCCCAATATTTGATAGCGTTTGAGAGCTGCTTGTGTAAGGCGGTATTTCGATGTTTTCGGAATGTTTGACAAGAAAGATCAGTTACTGTTTTAATAGAACATTATTTTGTAATAATTCGGCACAGTCACCAAATTGCTGTAGCAAAAAGTCTATAGTTCAGTCTTAAAAGAATTACTTTGTGAAAAAGAATTACTTTGTGAATATAAACACAATTTCCAACTGGAAATTTCCGCTCTTACAGAACAGGATGCATGTTTTAGTGTAAATAAATATGTTCAAAATTTCAAACAATATACTTTAAATGGAATTTGACATAATCAGATGCTATTCAAGTTAATTCAGTATTATAAGAGAATGTTTACAAGTTTGTATTTCTGTGGAAGCCGGTCATGCCGCCATGTGTTTTTTCTGGGTCAACCGTAGTAGGCTACAACAAACGGATTCTGGTAATATGTAGGTCAAACGTGTTTATACATTTTATTGGTAGATTTCTTCAAAATTTTTGTCATACAAATTTGACAGGCTTAGATCAAGGCAATTGTTATGATCCATCAGGGCAGTTTTGATCGATGCATAATAAAAATGCCGGTAGGTCTCCTCATCAGTTATATATATATAGTGCATATCTAGTGGATCAGAGTTTTGCTTGGTTTTGTTACGGGCTCCGAAGATTCCAAGTCCATGGTTTTGTTTACATTCCAGATAAAGTGCCTGTGAACTTATTAACTATGTTCCAGATCAGTGGAACTAAATACTAATTGCGTGGTAACACACTACTCTGAAATATCAGTTATTATACTAAAACTTAAATAACGGGAATAATGAACATTCCTGAAATGAAAACTTGTAAATGTAAACATGTATTCATTATCAAATTTCTTTTGTTTTAGCCTGGGAGGAACAGCAGGGGCAGTACTGACATGTCCATTGGAAGTGGTAAAAACAAGACTTCAGTCTTCCACAAGTACATTCCATTATCCAGCAGCAACATCAACAGCTAGGCCCACATGTCTTGTGTCAAACTATTCTGCATTCCATTCTACTCCTAGTAGTACATTTGTGACAATTAGAAATGTTGGAACTATTGCTAATGTTTCCGAAGTGGCATTGGTGCATGCAAGGAGTCGTTCCATTGGATTATATTTCTGTCTCAGGTGGGTTTCAGTTTGTAAAAAGTGAAAGTCAGATTTATCTCATTTTGATATTTTGGGATATATACAATATTATGAACTCTGAAGAAGACAACATTGCTAGTTGATATGTAGAGTCATGCAGCAAAGTGGAAAGCTAATTGTAATTTCAACAGTTTTGTAATATTATAAAATCTGTTAGTACTAAAATAACAGTCAACAGATACAAAAAGCTGGCATGAATTCAGGTAGCTAGATCCTTAGTTGTGACCACTATGTACGAACTATAGAATTAAGAAATTAAATGAAATAGATATTATCTGTTTTTGGTAAATTGTATTGCAGATCCATTAAAAATAATTTCTCATGTAATTGTATGCTTTTTATGACATTACATACATTTGCTGATATGCAGATTGCCAGGACTTTCATACTTGACAACCAACTATGGGTGAAATTGCCTGTGATTTTGCCCTATACAAGTTGTGAACATGAAAATTGAATTTTTAAGAGTCAAAAGATATAGTTTAAAGGTTCAAACAGAAGTCTTGTGACACAAACAATTTTGCGTCATAACAATTCTTCAGGACATAAGAATAACTTGTTTTCATTTTATGTTCCAGACAAATTGTGCTACATGAAGGTATTAAAGGTTTATTCAAGGGTTTGGGACCAAACTTGATTGGTGTCATTCCATCAAGGTAATTTGAATATTTCTTACGATATCCATTCATAGCTGCTTTCAGTTTGCAATATATTTACAATAGATTGTTATTCAAGTACTAGAATAGCCAGTGAAGTGATGTTTACACTGTACATTAGAAGAGAACCTGCCACAGAACACACTTCGACTGGTAAAGGTAGCGATTGACTGTGGTATAGGATACTACTAATGTAGATGGATCAAATTATCTGTAATTTTAGTAGATGGAAGATTAGGAGCTGTAGTTTCATAAAGAAAAGAAAACTTAATTTAGAAAGAGAAGTTTTCTTACAAAGAGAACTTGCATGATATGAATTGCAATAGAAGCTATGTTTAACTTTGTGAACATGCAAGATGGTGTTCACATTTCGTCACCCTGTGTAAATGTTTGCTATATATATTATTCCGATCTAGTTCACTAGAGTTTTTGTACAAATTTGTTTTTGTGCATTTACCCTGAATTTGAATTGAAGTCTCAATAATGTTAGCGTCTTGGTTTTGTATGTGATGTAAAGGTATATATCTTTCGGACCTATTTGAAATCATGTAGATTACATGTAAAGACATTTCTTTGTCCTTCACTTTCAGAGCCATATATTTCTATTCCTATGCCAACATGAAAAAGTTCCTGAACACACGAATGAATCCAGATACTTCTCTAGTCCACATTTACTCAGCTATCACTGCAGGTAAGTCTCTACCAAATATCACACCTAGGTTGCTATTGTGAATATGTGGGTTTCACTTACTCTGGAATTCTATGCCAAATAATGATACTTTTCACCTGTTCATTATTACTGACCTTTTTAACTTCATCTGATCCAGTCACTGTGTATATATACACTGGGGAGAACAGAGGAAATCTTTCTAGGTCACATAGCTTCAGGGTCATATCACTGATAAGGTACTGCTAAACCAACAGGACATATCTCAAGAGACTTATCAGTAAATAGGTGATTAGGTCACCTCATATAAATCTGAACTCATCTCTGTTACAAGTTAAAATAATAAATAGAAAGGCCACCAAATTTGTATGACATGGCCTGAATTTGGTCAGGAATATGGATGTTGGTCTATTAATTGAGGTGTCGTGGTCATTAAGATTTCAGAAATAAATGATGAAATTCTTCACTCAAATTTCAGTAATAATGAATATACAGGTATTTTCCTCTAGTGTACAGGTATTGTATAAGACTGTTATAGCTCAAGACATTACTGTAAAATTCCACTAGTAAGTGATCAGACTTTGGCTGTGTGCCAAGGTTTTGTAAGGACTACAGAATGCTATTCTTGGTTAATGTATTTATATAACAAGAGGGTATATATATAACAAGAGGCAGTGACACCGGTCAATATGTACTCTTGTATGATTCTGTACATACTTTTGTAAACAAGTGGAAATGCTGCTCTCTGAATCTCTACAGTCATAAACATTGGGAGGATTGCATATGAAATAAATAGTGTATTTTTAGATTTGAAAACTCTATATGCCTTTTTTGCACAGCTACAGACTGCTTGGATTCTGATAGAAATAAAACACTGGTTATGATGTTGGGAGGAATGGCAATTTTTAAAAAATATCTTTACAAGGCAATCTATAGGAATAGGATTCAAAATGTGTTGAATTCAAAATTAGAATTTGTAATCCAGAATTTGGCAAAGAATTCCTAGAATGACTTTCAAGTGTTACCCACATGTTCCTAATGTACTGTTTGTACTACAAGTAAGTATAAGTAATCAGAGATCAGAATTTGATGTTTGTATGAATTAAGTTTTTACATAATGCTCTTACATAATTGCATGAAACTTGCTTTTCCTTCAAGTTTGAGTTGATTACTGTCACCTGATACTAACTGCCTACTATGCTTTCAACAAAGCCATCACCATGAACATTCTTAAATCCTACAAATTTGAAATAATTTTGTAGGCTTGCTGTACACAAATACTTGTGTATGGAAAAAGTATAGACAGTCTTTGTAGACAAGGAGGTTCTTCCTCTATGAAGACGATGAAAACTTGTTTTTATTTCATCAAATCGTTTAGAAACTTTTTTGAAATTAATAAAGGAAAGGATTGATTTTGAACATTTTCGTGAACATTAAAGAAGTCTGCATGCCTTTTTATGTTACAAATACTCAGATATTAGAACTGACATTAAGTCTATGAATATATTAGACAAAGTCATTTGTGTGCATGTTTCGTGCCTGGAGAACGTATCCTGAACCTAAGTCTTTTCAGATCCTGATGCACCTGCCCAATGATCGGCATATTGCTGAACGCCTCCTTAAAGAAATTTGGACAGTGCATCTTCATAATAGAAGTGTTATCATTTGCCCCCTAGGGCATTCCGCTCTCACCAGAGGGCAGTAGGGTCGAGGTAACTGGTTTGATCATCTATATGTCCTAAGTAAATTTTACCTCTTGGTCTAAATTGGTGTTGTGAAAAAAAATAAGTTGGTTCATCTTTTTATTGGCAGGCACAGATGACTAAATAGTTGAAATATGAGAAGTCAGCATATCAATGTTAGGGTTACTCCAATGAATAGGAACTGTAAAGTCAGAGTATTATTGTTAATCTTAATGCATGCCAACATATTGCTGAACTCAAGTTGTAAGAACCCTCAAAAGTACATAGTTTAACAGGTTATTTATGTTTAGAAGAATTGTGATGATTATTGTGAGACACCAGGCAGTATCTTCTTTATCAAGGAAAGTAACTGAAAATTGAAGTCACATAAATCAGTTATTACATATGATGTGGCTCATTATGATAGCTGACAGCATGTTGTTTATATGTAACCCTGCATGCATAATGTGAAATTATGGTGACAATTGTTAAAAGATTCTAGTTCTATATATACTTCACCCTAGGCAGTGTGTTTTTACAGAAATCAAGATATTTCCTGTGTTTATATTCTTTCATCATCTTCAGAATTAAAATCAAACACAAAGACCTTAATATTTTGTTTTTAACTTAGTTTCAAATTGAAATAACAACATCCTGTTTGGAATAAAAAAAATCACACTAAAGCCATACTTAATTATTTACCAGGATAATAAACATTTTGACGGATACATTCATCCTGTGCTGAAAAGATTAATCTTTTGTTATCACCTCCTACCAAAAACAAAATGTATCTGAATAATTATTTTGTAAGGATTTACTTGTTAAAATAACATTGCAAACCAAGCATCTATCTGTACAATAACGGGATGTGCTTGGACTCTGAAAAAAAACCCAACAGTATTTGTAGAGATAAACAATCATATTGAGAACTAAGGACAAGTTAAGTGAAAAAATTGTTCATACATTAAAAGGGAAAATTCTCCAGTGTTGGACAGAAAAACTTTTTTGAGAGACATGCTGTAGTTGATAAAGTTGAGAAATGCTTGTGATATCTTTCCCTGGCTTGCCCTCCTGTATTACATATATCTTTAATGACTAGTATTAACATTGACCCTGTTATATTGGTTTTGATTATTGTTGGACTGAATCACTAAATCAACCAATGTATTCATATTTTTCAGGTTTCTGTGCTTGTACTACTACCAACCCTATATGGTTTATCAAGACCAAGCTCCAACTTGATCAGAAGTAAGTTTGATTTCATTACAACATCTGATAAAGAATAGGTCAACCAGTGACCTTGTATGTCATCAGAATAGTTCAAACAGATGTTTTTTAGCTACTATGAATCAGGTTTTGGGGAAGATTATTGAAATGAATGTATGGAAATTTTAAAAAATAGCATGGATCTAAAAAATGTGTTGCACATGCCATCCAGCATGTAGGCAGAGCAAAGGAAGATTCAACCAGGAAAAGATATACAGAATTAGTACACGATCTCAAGCGATAGTTTGTGACTGGATTAATTATAACATACCACATACAGATCTGTACTGTATTCTGAGTTCCAAAGAAATAAAAAAACCTCTGTGCTAGAAATTAAAATGGAAATATTAACAATGTGTTAATATATGTGCTGTTTTACTTCAGGAGAACCAACTCCCTGACTTGTATAGAATGTATCAAGAACACATACAGGACATACGGGCTTCCTGGCTTCTACAAAGGCATTACTGCTTCTTACGTCGGCATTACAGAAACTGTCATACATTTTGTCATCTACGAAGCTCTGAAAGAGAAGTTAAAATGTAATGACAACCTTGCCTATAACAGTCAAAAGAGTGAAGAACCCTTTATCAACAGCTTCTTTCGGTGTATGTTGGCTGGAGCCATTTCCAAAACCTTTGCTACTTGCATTGCTTATCCTCACGGTAAGTAAATGTGGAAACATAATGTGTTGGTCTCATGTTGTGCCCATGGAAAAAGAAAATAATGGTTAATTTCAATGTCTTAATGAGAAGTAAACCAGATCCTTGCAAATTGAATTGTTTCATTTATAAATGTCTTTACCACTACAATAAAAGGCTGTCATAAATGCTGAAGACAAGTAGCTTCATAAATGTATCAGATATTAAGATAAAGACAAATTTTAGTAAAGTTTCAAGAATTCTTTTGAATTAATTGTGCTTAAAATGTCTGGAATCACTATTTCCACTTTATAGATTGAGGAAAATTGCAATTTACATTGATTTTGAAAGTTGACAGATATTATGAATTTACATTTTCCTGTTTACAGAGGTGGCAAGAACACGGTTACGGGAAGATGGCAACAAGTATCAGACATTCATACAGACCTTAAGACAAGTGTGCAAGGAGGGTGGGATAAAGGGAATGTACGGTGGACTCTGTACACAACTTGTACGTCAGATCCCTAACACTGCTATTATGATGGCTACGTATGAAGGGGTTGTCTACTACTTCAATCACATCAATTATGGGGATGACACGTGATGGGAATCTAGTCCAAAAATCAAGGTGCTATGTTTGGTCTAGATTGACCATTCACAGATTACTCAGTGATGGATTCCAAAGTCATCCGTGAATGAACCGGATGGTACCTGAGCAGGTTCAAATCAGAAGAGCAGAAATGGTTTGACTAGTCTGTGGGCATAAGTTTTGCTTTTACTAGCCATTGATTGAATGCAATAAATTCTAGTCCCAAATTGACTGCATGTTGAAGATGATATGAGATCCAACGGTGTCTGTCAACCACGTTGTTAACATCAATACTGCTAAGATCTGGTACTACTAAGTAATCTCATTCAATAGATTTGCTTGTTGTGAGTCAAGTTCAAAATTTTCCATAAGCAAATTCTATTCTTTCATCTATGTTGTTTGAATAGTGAATGACAACATCAGTCTAAACTATACTTGTGTTCATTGATTTGAAATATCATTGTTTTCTTTCTATGTTCATGTACAAAAAGAAAAAAAAAAGAATGGATTTCTATCCTATTATCTTTTTAAATTTCATTTTAAATATTTTTCCAGAAAATCAACCTCTAATGTTATGTAATATCAGTTTGACATTTTAAATTAAAAGCGACTGGTATGGCATTACAATCCCACTAAATGTGTTCTTAATATAGAGAGACAATGAATTCAAAAAGGTGTTGATTTAGAATTGAGATACAAGTAGTCCTGTAATTGTGATATTGTTCAATGTCGGAGTGTATCTGTAAGACATTCTGATTGTCATAACTAAACATATCCTATCAACTTATAGATCTACATTTCCAGATGAAAACTTGCATCCCATGTAAACTTGTGATACTAATAGTGCTAATGACAAATTCGCTTTTAAAATGAGATTGATCAATTTATACCATTTCTATCATCCCAGTTTAAATTTGTCAATTTTGTTTTACATCAGAACATTTTTATTTCCTTTTTTCTCCAATTTCCAATGAAAACAGTTTTTAAATACTCTTGACAATTTCATATGGTTTGTTACCTAAATACATTATGATCTCAAGATCTGAACTACTGGGAGAAAATCTATAAAGTTGTGTAGTTTTTTATATTTTATGCAGGGAAGGGAGCAGTTTATTCCGACCATTTCAATGGTCGTTCATTTATATTGTGTTCTTTGTTTTTGTGTTAAGTCATTTTTTGTTCTTCTGTTACATGTTATTAATAATTCCAATCTAATTTAAATAAGACTTGAATTCTTCTCCTCTGTGATGGTAGTGTGTCCTGGAGGAGAGGGATTGCAAGTCTTATTTAAAATAAATTGTTAATAATTCCTTCTCTTAGGACATTTGCAAATCTGAAAATATTCTTTAGAAAGTTTGCATAACTAATTGAAGTGTTTGTGATAATCATACCTATTTGTATATATTGACTTGACAGTAACAGTTCGGTGAATATTGATTGTGAACATAAAGTCATGCAAATAAAAGAAATGCAAATATATATATGTGCTTTTATTATTGTTTGCATTGAAACTCTCCAAAGGGTCATGTTGAAATGTCCTGGTCTTTCCAGTGCCAACAAACTGCCAACTGCTTCTTTTAGATGAATTAGGAGGCCCAGAAGGAGATATTTGGTCTAGCATACATGCTTGGATGAAAGACTTTGAAGTACGATGTTTGGTCAGTAGCACACTGGATTTAACTTGATGTTGCATAGGTAGAAATCAGACTTATGATAATGATATTGAACTGGAATTAAATCAGGATGAAGGACTACATGAAAATGATATCGAACTGGAATTTAATTTGGATGAAGGACTACCAACTGTGTTTAAATGGATGATCTTTACTAGCTTTAAAGCTAACACTAAGACTATTAATAAGGGTTTTTTGACCAGAAACATGCAGGGATACACAACCAAATATGTTAAATTCTTAAACAACATTTTTTCTGACCTAGTGGCTGTATCGCCCTAGATGTTGGGGTTTGTATATATCAGGTTTGAGAAATGCCTGAAAAGTTTAAACAAACTTCAAACAATTTCAGTAGATAAATATTCTTCAAGAATCCCAAGTCCATATTGCCAGTACTAGTCACTATTTCCCCTCATTTACGATCCTGAGAAAACTTGGACATTTCACGATCATGGGCTGTACTCTGGTTATTCCACTATCTTATCTTGTTATATGTGATCCACAGTTAAAGTAACCAATAATTTGTAGGCCTACTGAATACCACCAAGATATAAAAGGAAAAAAGAAAATGGTTCTGACCTTATCACCTGTTTGACAGCGTGTCTGAGTTGACTTGGACCGATATTAAGCTGACCTCATTTACTCTTTGGGACGTAGCCAGATCAGGTCATTACCTTGTTTATAGTTCATTCTTGGCCAATGTTGACACCATAACCTCATTAATGGGTAAAAAACAGAGAAAATCCTATATTTACTTACAAGTGAAGAATTTTTTTCAAAAAAATCTGAATTGGTATTTTCTAAATACAGCATTTACTACTAAATGTGATTATTACCATTTTCTTGGTCAGCATGCATTTGAATACTTTCCAGAACCAGTCCAATGCCATTGATGGTCGGGAAATCTATAGGGCTTAATTTACTGATATATAAAAGTGTATACAAGAAAATGTTGATGATGTTATAATACGAACAAGTCAATAAAATCACAAATACAGTAGGTACATAACATGAAAAGGAATGATTGAAGTCATACTTCTGATTCAAGAACTCCGGGGAGAATATGCCGGAACAAGAAATACAAACAGCATCACAGGGACATGGGTTACTCTTCCAGGTGTATTTGGAGCTATCCTGACAAGATAAGCGTACTTGTTCCAACAGGGACATGGGACACTGTCCCAGGTGTATTTGGATATATCCCGACAATATAACCCTACTTGTACTCACAGGGACTTTGGACACTGTCCCAGGTGTATTTTGCATCTATCCTAATAATATAAGCCTACTTGTACTCACAGGGACATGTGACACTGTTCCAGGTATGTATGGATCTATCCTGACAATATAAGCCTACTTGTTCCCACAGGGACATGACACCTGTTCAAGGTTTTTGTTATCCATCCCGACAATATAACCCTACTTGTACTCACAGGGACTTGGGACACTGTCCCAGGTGTATTTGGATATATCCCGACAATATAACCCTACTTGTACTCACAGGGACTTGGGACACTGTCCCAGGTGTATTTGGATATATCCCGACAATATAACCCTACTTGTACTCACAGGGACTTGGGACACTGTCCCAGGTGTATTTGGATATGTACTCACAGGGACTTGGGACACTGTCCCAGGTGTATTTGGATATATCCCGACAATATAACCCTACTTGTACTCACAGGGACTTGGGACACTGTCCCAGGTGTATTTGGATATATCCCGACAATATAACCCTACTTGTACTCACAGGGACTTGGGACACTGTCCCAGGTGTATTTGGATATATCCCGACAATATAACCCTACTTGTACTCACAGGGACTTGGGACACTGTCCCAGGTGTATTTGGATATATCCCGACAATATAACCCTACTTGTACTCACAGGGACTTGGGACACTGTCCAAGGCAGATTTGGATATATCCCGACAATATAAGCCTCCAGAAGGACGTGAGAAATCTAGAAGTTGTGTTGAAGGGAGCTATTCAATTGTGTCTTTATCATAATCACGAGATAACTAAGTGGTAATTACGAGATACATGTACCAAGTTGTATCTACAACATATTAAATGATCCAAATATCTTGAAGATTGTACTAAAGAAACATTGTATATGAAAAGGTGAAAATCTGTAGTTTATATGTCCACGTTTCATAGTTTTCTTTTTATTGATGTGTGTAAATTTCCATTGTGTGAGCCACCTCAACTAGATGTGTATAAGAAATACGTGATTCCGAATTTTAGGGTAAAGTTTTGGTTTTTGACATTTTAAAATTCCTGAGAAAGATATGGTCAGCTGACTTAAAACATACTCTATGTAGATGTAAATTTCCTATTAACAAAATGATGTGTATATACATGTAGTGCCCTACACGAAGATTAGAAAGAGTACAGGATATGTTACGGAATACATTACATATTCATTAAAAGCAAATTTGGCTGATTTGAATTCAATTAAAGAGTCGTTAACACCGTGTCTAAAAACTGAAAATTTTGCATGGTGTTGTCAGACAGCTAGAAATAAATGTATTTAATTGTATAATAGGATTGTTAAGATCTAGGTCAGACAATGACTAATAAAGTACACATCTATAAATAACTGGGTTAAGCAACATCTGGACCTTGTATAGACACGATACAGATAAGGGACATTTGGAGGTTAACAAAAGTGATATATTGATTATGAAATGCTGTTTGTCTGTATTGTCATTTAAACGGCAATACTATATATACCGACTCATGATTAAACTTGTACATACTTACGAAACTGTTCTCCTCTGATAGCATCACATCAGCACCTGTCTCTGAAAGCCTGATTAGCTCTCCAAGGTTATATAGCTCACAACAAAATATCTATTGAAGGCTCACAACCAAATATCTATTGAAGGCTCACAATTAAATATCTATTGAAGGTTAGCTCACAACAAAATCTCTTTTGAAGGTTAGCTCACAACGAAATATCTATTGAAGGTCAACTCACAACCAAATATCTATTGAAGGTTAACTAAAAAATCTGATTGACTGATAATTCATCACTTTCTTGAGATATCTGTAACAATAACTACCAGGGACCCTGATGTAACAGCGTGAGAGGCCCATTGTCTCAGTCACAGCTGAGGAGTAGTAACTCCTCAAACAAGAGATCCAAGGGGGATCTTGGTGCCCTCCATTTTTGATCTTTAAAAGTGGGATCTTTCCTCTTCTCTCCAAAGTTTTCGCTATTAATTATATGAAATATGCAAGAGATCCACCCAGTACTTCTTGAGAAATTGCATTAAAAACTTTTACTCGATGAAATCCCAAGATGGCCGTCAGTCAGCCATATTGTTTATCTAATCAATCCCAAAATTTAACAGGCACTACTAGGGACCAAACGGAAATCATTATAACAAGCTTCATTTTAAAAATCAAATATGGCCGTCTGCCTGCCATTGTGTGCTTCTGATCAGACGTAAAGTCAATTGAGCACAACTGGATAGGGACCAAGGGGAACCTACATGTTAAATCTAAGAAAGATTAATTCAGGGCTTCTTCAGAAAAATGATAACAAAAGTTGTTAATGAACGGATAAACCTTGGATGTAGGGTGGTTTGAATAGCTCACCATTTGATGATGGTAGGCTTTTCAAATAAAAGATGGGACTCTAATTGATTCCAAGATTTTTTTTATTAATAATAGTCATTAAATAACTGTCAATATCAAAACAGTAGGCATACAAACTGCACCACATAATTTCAATGTAAATCATAATTGTAATACATTGTTATATACAGTACACCATAAAACAGCATGAAAACCAAAGTATACTTGACACACACAGGTCTAAATACAATACCTACATGGTACAGTGTATACATGACGTCATGTATTCGACAAGGAATTTTATCTCCAACGTTACACCTATAACATAACAGGCTGTTGAACTGTAAATTGATTATAAGATCTAGTGAATTTGATTGTGACATGGCACCTGTCAGAAGTATTTTGTTGTATAAAACCTTAATAATTCTGGAGTAAGCCGAAGAATTTCAATAAATGGATGTTAAAGATTATTACTGACAGTAACATCAGTCATGTCCATGTCTACATTACACACCATCACCTCTGATTATATACTTATTTAGTACTGACTACACAGAATGATACGACACAGTAATACAGCTTGGTTCCAAAGCGCTCATGATCTACAAGTTTTCAAGTTTCAAGTTTCCATTTATACCTGGCACCATGCAGTTTTACACCTTTGGCATGTGTGGCAGGCATATCTTAAAGTTAACAAAATATCAATAAAGTCAGATGGCAAGATTTTTCTTTTAATTTCTATTTAGTTGTATGATTAAATGTAATGGTATATTGTAAAATTGCATGAAACTTTTCTTCCAATTTTATTTTCAACAGTATAATTCAATGTTTGACTTTTAAATTTCATTAAGATTTCTGTTTTAAAGATAACTTTGATGTACATCTTCAAAACACCATATATTCATGTACATGTATGATATGGTATCTTAATTACAGTTGGAATGAATGTATAACATCAATACTTAGTCAATGTTAAATTCAACACTGTATTAATTTTATTAAAACTGTAGAATATGTCAACTCTGTTGTGACATAAAAGTAACATATGACTTCCTGCAGCAAATTAATAATTCTAATAATCATGTATTTTTGTTCTCTAAACATCTCATATCTTATTATGTAAATTGACAATTGGTAAAAAGTCAGAAACATGAATTTTGGTAAAAACAGCCTTAAAGATTTTTTGAATCTGACACTATAACTGCATGTGAGTTATCAAGGTAATTAACATGTATTACACTATTTTTCTTGTAAAAGCCACCAATCCCCCCTTTTTTTTATTCAGTCAGGGTGCAGGCTTACTGACAGTGAAATAACATTGTTTTGATATTTCATTGAACATATTACAAATTTATTTTGCAACATTCATATTATGCAATTTGGTGCCAAAACTAGCATTTCTAATTCAACCACATTGTTTTTGCAAAATATCATGAGTGGAAAATAGAAATTGACAAAAAAAAATGTACTGTTTTTTAAGTTGACTCATTACCAAATATGGCCTAATTGCTACAAACTAATAGAGACTTATAATTGATTTTGATTTATGCCATCTACAAAACTGAATGACTGAAATAACTCAGGTGATTATTAGAAGTAAGGAAAATATTACACAGATAGAATAAACTGTTCTTTATATATTGTATATAGTTTTTGATATTTTTAATTCAAATAATTTTGCAATAAATGTGTTATAAGGAATACTTCAATATCTACATAGCTATACATTTATTAACATACAAACCTCAAGTTCATTCCCTCTCAATTAGAAACTACACATCAATGTATATAGGGCAAATGTACATATTCATTTGAACAGTAAGTCATCCACATGCTTTCTGTGTAAGTTGCATAAACACCCACAAAGCCAACCCCTGGAGAACAAAATCCTTCAACCAAAATTCAGAATACGAGATCACAAAATGAAGCCCTAGAATATAAGAGTACAAAATCAAGCCCTAGAATATAAGAGTACAAAATGAAGCCCTAGAATATAAGAGTACAAAATCAAGCCCTAGAATATAAGAGCACAAAATCAAGCCCTAGAATATAAGAGTACAAAATCAAGCCCTAGAATATAAGAGTACAAAAGCAAGCCCTAGAATATAAGAGTACAAAATGAAGCTCAAGACAAAAAAAAAAAAAAAAATACAAAACAAAACTGAAGATAAAAAGATTACAAAATGAAGCTCTAGAATACGTGATAAAAAAGTAATACTCTGAATAAATGATTTCAAATGTATTTTGCTAAAAACAAGAATGTTCTAACTCACAGAATGAGGCTACAGTGTAGGATCAATATATTATGTAAAAAAAAAGGGAAATAAAGAACTGCTTATTCTGTTAAAGAGTAATATTATTAATAGATGTTAGATTACAGTTTGACTACATTACTGCTATCATAGAACTGCCAAGTTTGCAATTTTTTACTCTCAAATTTGAAAATAAGTATTTGTCAAAATCAAAACTTATATACTTTTTCAGTAATTTTTTATCATTCCATTGGGGTTAAAATATATAAAAATAACAACAATTTAAATTTTAACATTGAAACATCATAATCAATTTCACATTGCTTCAACTTGAAGACTTCAAATATGTTGATAACATGTATGTTAGAATTTTTTTTAAAAAATTGCACAGTTGATCAGATATAAGGCTGCTATAAATACATCATTTGGTAGTTTGGTTGACTGAAAAAGAGACAGGGAAAAATCTATAGACAGTGTCCAGCTTCGGTAAGAGAAATAAAATAATGCCAAACAAAAACACAAGCAAATTAGAAAAAAAAATCATATTTATAGGCAGTGTTCAGCTTCGGCAAGAGAAATAAAATAATGCCAAAAAAATACACAAACAAGCAATTAGAGAAAAAAACCCATGTATCTATAGACAGTGTCCAGCTTCGGTAAGAGAAATAAAATAATGCCAAACAAAAACACAAGCAAATTAGAAAAAGAAAAAACAAAAAGAAAAAAACATGTAGACTAGCAACTGAAAGTTTGAATACAATTTGGTCAAATTGTATGAATATTCAAGAAGAAAACAAATTCTGAATATGGTAAAGGGGAGACAACTAATAAGAATTGAGAGTTTCATGTATTGAATAGTACTGAAAGTGTTGTTAAACAACAGAGATTACTAGGTTTAATAGAAACCATTGAATAATGGCACTAATTTAATGTGTAAACAAATAATTCAAAATATATCAAATCAAATATAAAATCAAAATGAAATCCATTTGTTTGTCTAAAAATGCTTTGTTACTCCAGTATAAAAAAAAGTAAACACGATCTGATCAGAGATTCTAGATTAAAAGGAATGTTTAAAATGTCAATTCTTTAACATCCTGTAGACTAAAAGTAACAGGAATAATGGAAGCTCTGTTGACAGTTTAACTAGTCAATTAAATATACATCAGGGTTTATTAGGTAGTGTATACTAGTGGGTAGCTTAGTGCTGCAAGCATACAAATTACATGTGTAGGAATCAGAGAGGACAATATTACAACAACGGCTACAAAGGTGGGCTTACAAGTGAAATAACAATATTGTGAAATTTAAATCACAGATTTCAAAGTCATTTATTTCTTGCGGTGTTCAGATGTCTAACACAGATCTCAAGCCCCAAATATCTAGTAGGTACTAAATTATGATTTAAGGTGACTGATATCTGAGACTTAGCAGTTTTAAGGTTAATTCAAGGTCACTCATATCAGACAGTTACTGCATGGTTTTAAAGTATGATTCATAGTCACTCATATCCAACAAATACTGCATACCAGTAGATTAACGGTATAATTAAAGGTCATTCATAGCACTGTATCAACAACAAAAACTATTGTATTCTAAGGACCAATCATTCCTCAGATATATTTCTCATTCAAAAGTGAACTAAGTGTTTCATCCATATTTGTTATCATTTAACATCACACTTCATTTATAAAGTTAAGTGTATATATTAACAACATATATACAATAACAGGCAAATATACTTTCCCCAGTTGATATAAGGGTAAATAATAACACTTAATATGAAAGGTAGGAGCTGAATTCAGTCAGACACATTCATTCTTTGTACACAGATCATTTTGTAAGAGATCTAAAGGTATAAAAACACTAGCCCTCCATATTGATTCTTACTTAAATCAGTAAAACACGTTTATATATCAAACATGGGGAAATATGTAAAACACCAATCAGATCTAAGTTCAGTACTGAAGAGTCAGTGTATTTACATACCCTCGTAAGCTTTCAGATATATCATACATACTTTATTGAAAAAGAATTTAATCCTTAAGTCTTTGTCTAATTGATACTATGATAAAACCATTATGAGTTTCCACAGGATTCAGAGGTCTGACTTCCTGTAGTGTCCTATTCATTTAGTAACAAACCCATGAGACAAAATCTGTCATCTGACTGAGTCAGGGAATGGGTTTATTATAAGACCATGGATTTGCATAAATTTATACTGAAATGAGATAGATGTTGGTGGGGTTATTACCAGACATGGACATATTGCTGGATTAATAAGGTAAAATTTTATACAAATTCTATATTTATATATAAAGTAATCCAGGCTACAAGACACACCGGATCTGACCCCCTGACCCAAGTTTCACTAACCTTCCTTAAATTAAGGAAATCTTAACTACTACAGGAAAGCATTATGTTGGTGAAGGAAAAACTTCAATTTCTGGAAATTTCCTTGACTAATGTAAACCTTTCCTATGGGCGTTTTTAAGATGAAGAAAATTCCTGAAGTTAAGAAAGACCTGTGAAACTTTCGTCTGTTACCATTGCTATCCTAAAATAAGCCCAGGGCATTATCATGTAACATTTAATGTATTATAGGGTGATGGAAGCACTACATTGTAATGATTTAGAATTTGTCTTTATTTATAATAAAACTGTAATAGATATCTGTGGTTTTATTACCAGATACGGGCTCAATGATGGTTTTGATAGTATACCACTAATGATTTCAAATCTGACACACTGCAAAGAGAATCTGTATCCTTCTTAAAGCCTTATTGGTTTTCAAAACCAGTGATCTCTCACTTAAATTTATAATGCGAGTGGCAAATAAATGGTGACGAGAAGGTCACATCCAGACAAGTGTTTGTAGCCAGGACATATCTAGTTGGTTGGTCAGTTATTAGTTGCTGCCTGTGTAAAAAAGGTGGCCTTTTCCTTAAATGCTTTTTTCCTCTCCATGGCTTCCTCTTGCATTCTTTTCTTTTCCTCTTGTTCATTCTTGATCTCATCTTCAAACTTTTTGTCCTGAGTTTGTTTTTCAATCTGTTGTAATAAACATTAAAATAATTTTGTAATGAAGCATTAATATCACCAAAACATTAGTTTTTTTACAATAAGCCGATGCTCGTTCAACAATAAGCCCATGCTCGTTAGTTCATAAGCTCAGAAATAAATATCAATGTTCAGTGAACTAGTGCTATGTCAGTGTCTTGTAATAAGCCCATCCTCAGACTCTAAAAAAGCAATTGGCTTGGCCCACTAAGCTTTTTACAGGATAATTTGATAAACAACTACTATAACACTATGATACCTGCAACACTTCCTGAAAATAATGTGGATATCTTAAAGTACTTAATGACCCAATGTTGTCATTCTTCCTTAACCATTAAACCTGACGTCAATTTTAATTATCTAGTTTGTTAATCACAGCTAAAACCTTCTGAGGAATTTTAACATAGGTTTCATATTATTATAAGTATCATATCTATCCTGCATTAAGCCAACATAGCCACACACCACTTCTTCCTCAAAGTAAAGGGTGGGCATATTATGAGAAAAAAACATTGATTAATATCATAATGTAACCACAATACAATATCTATGGCTGGGCTTATTCTAAGGTATTAACTTACAGATAGATAAACAAGATCATACATTTTTATATACATTGCTACAGGTACACAAAATAAATAAATAAAGAGTTACAAATCAGAAAGTTGATGACCTTGTTTCTTAAATGCTGACTCTGAAAAAAATCTGTCTATTGTTACAACACATGGCACTTTAGTAACAGGAAGGAATGATCTGATAATGTGGTAGTTTTGTGTTGAATAAAACAACATGGAAAAGATCATATGGTACAGTAAAATTGTTAATTTTCATGGGGGAGTTAGTTTCGTTTAATTTGTGTGATCTCTAAATCCATAAATTTATAAGTCCAAAAATTGATAACAGATCAAAGTTCTTATGTACTAGCGATTTTTTTAAATCCACAAAATCAATAGCTGATCAAAATGTATATTTAAAAAAAACTACAAAATTTGAGCCCCACAAAAATATATGATATTTACAGTATATTTTGTATACATTTCTTTTAATTGAAACATCATACATCTTTACCTTTATTTATGAACTTTTGTTCAGTACTAGGATGCACAGAAAACATTCCATAAAACATGTTTACCTTAGCCTCAAAGAAGTTTTTAGCGCCCTTTACGCCCTCCTTGTCCACATCCACTTCATCTAAGTTCTGATAGAGGTTAAACAGGCCACTTCCCTCCTCAAGCTCTCCTGCTCTAGCCTTCCGAAATATCAACAAGAACTGAAAATAACAAAGGACATAATTACGGTACTTCATTGTATTTCTCAACTGGAGAATCTAAACACAAATTTAATGGTAATTTTATACAGAGGAGTCGGTTTACCCAAACAGTACCAATGGGAAAATAGTATATGTTTCATGGTACTTCAAATCCACCTTTTAAACCTAAACAACTGTGACAAAGAAATTAGAGTATGTCATTCTGATTCTGAAATTCAATGTTAAATATATATATAGTGGAAAAGGAAATATTGCTTTACATGGTAGGTTTTTTAGAGTAACTCACGGTAGTTTGCATTGTAAGTGTAACTTTACAGTATTTCTCTGCAGTTTGTATCATGTGTCTATCCGTTTCATAGGAGCAGAGCATATTTACAGTATTTGTCTGCAGTTTTTATTGTGAGTCTAACCCTATCACAGAAACAGAGCAATTACAGTACATCATGGTTGTTTGCATTTTGAGTCTAACTCTTCACAGGAGCAGAGCAAATTCAGTGTTTGACTGCAGTTTGTATGTGCGAGTCTAACCCTATCACAAGAAGAGCAATTACTGTACCTAAAGATTATATTGTACTTAACAGTCTATGGTCCAACATCAATTGCATTTTACTGGAGAGAATGCACCCTTTCAACAGTAGTAGAGTAATTAAGGTATTAACACAGTAAGGATTGTCTGTACTAGGGAATCTGTTCCTGACGATTGGAGTCTGGAAGACAGGTGCCACTGTAATTTACACGACATTCCGTCAATCTGTAAACCATTCATCATAATTGTCAATTTTCAATCAATTATTTATGAATTCTGACACAGAGAATATATATAATTAACTGGACATGAACAATATGGTTCACAAAGGTTGGTATCCCAAAGCTCTACACCTGTGCTATAAGATTTACGCTTTGATAAACAAAATCCTTCAGACCAGATTTCCCCATGTGTAACTTAACAGTATATTGATGAGGTAAATTACCTAGTGTTATATAAATACCTCAGACAAGATGGTTTATTGTAGTTTTCACCTCTTTTATGGCCTAGGTAAACTTAAATTAGAACCTAGAGAAGATCCAGACAGCACAATACCAGATGTCTTTTATTTGAAGGAAAGACATTTAGAACTTAACTCATAACAAGACACTTGTGGTAAATAGCCATCTCTGTTTTAACAAAGGTTACATTTAAACATTTTATAGCCTATTGTACTTGTTTGGGGTTATAAAGATAAGGTCTTATGAAGACTTGCCCACACACAGATGACTGGGTCATTCATGGACACTTTTAAAGTGCCATCACACTGAAATAACATATTACCTGGATACAGAATCATACCACTCCAACCAGTGAGACAAAGAGGCTTAATAGTCTTCCTGTTTATTTTGATCTGAAGGTCAAATAGTACAAACAGCATTTGCATTATGTACATTGGTACCTGATTTTGATTTGTCTCAGTCAGGCGACAGAACGCAAAATGTGTATCTCATGGATCTCGACACTTGACCCTAAGGCTGACAGCAAGGTTTTGCTAAGTGATGTACATTGTATGAAGAGAGAATAATACATTGGAAAGATGAGATTAGATAAAGTTCATAACTGTAGCTGCTGCCTATGTCCCTATAATGCAGGGACAGAAGGTAAAATGGAAATGTACAAATGTCTTTACGCATTAGGACATGAGAGTGCAGTATTTATTAAAGTTTTATCTTCATAAATGATTGCAAACACAAATCTAAATTGGCATGTGTGAAACTATAATAATACAAAATTTCAGCAATATATTACAAATTATAGCACATTTATTAAAACAAATTGTATTTTCATTGTTTCTACTTTTGTTTTTTACATATTATACGGTAAAATTTGGGCTATAAATAAAAGCATCCTTTCCTATCACTAGTGTTTAGACATGTCCTGGATGTTATACAAGGTAATACTGTTAATGGTATGACACTGTCCATTCATTACCTGTATTATGTATTGACCCATTCATCACATCTGTCACTTAGCTGATGGTTTATGACTACACTTAGATGGACACTTGACCATCATATTAAGGGATCAATTTCCCTATTCACTATCAAATACTTCTCTCCTCTTATATTCCTGTAAAGTGTGTTTCATCTTCAACTTGTGTTGAAAATCTGTAATCTCTAAACTTCTTAGGGGTGATATACCGATATAGCGTGGTTGTCTCTCTGAAGGGAATCTTTGCGTCAGGATGTGTGTCTCTGAATTATGGTACATTAAATTATAGTGGCAAGAATGTCTCTCTCTGAAGGGACACAGGAGGTGCAGCTGTCTGTCTCCGAAGGGAGAGACACTAGTGCCTGGGCTGTCTCTCTATGAAGATACATTAGTCATTAGTCACCAGACTATCTCTCTATCAGGAGACACTACTGGCCAGGCTTTCTTTTTATCAGGAGACACTAGTGGCCAGGCTTTCTCTTTATCCGGAGACACTACTTGCCAGGCTTTCCCTTCATCAGGAGACACTACTGGCCAAGCTTTCTCCATGTGAAGAGACACTAGTGACCAGGATTTCTCTCTATCAGGAGACACTACTGGCCAGACCGTCTCTCTATCAGGAGACACTGCTGGCCAGACTGTCTCTCTATCAGGAGACACTAGTGGCCAGACTGTCTCTCTATCAGGAGACACTAGTGGCTAGACTTTCTCTCTATCAGGAGACACTAGTGGCCAGACTGTCTCTCTATCAGGAGACACAAGTGGCTAGACTTTCTCTCTATCAGGAGACACTAGTGGCTAGACTTTCTCTCTACCAGGAGACACTAGTGACCAGACTGTGTCTCTATGAAAGGACACTAGTGACCTGCTTGTCTCTCAATGGAAGGACACATTGACTTGGCTGTCTTTTTCTAAAGTTTACCACTAAGCATTCTGTTTGTCTCTGAAGGGACATAAGTGGTCTCTTTGTTGCTCTCTCTGAAGAAACACTAGTGGCCTGTACATTAATGTTACTCCTTGAAACTTTAAGCATTAACATATTTATCAAAATAGGCACTGCAACCAATTCCCAAACTGGAAACATCACTTATTTTATGATGCGGCATGTTGATGGACAACTTGACGAAAGTTGCATAATCATATCTCAGAACTTATTTTTGTCATAAAGGTATCAAATACATATCTAACATGGTACAATACTTTCAGATAAATGCATGTGTGTGGTATGTGTTTAATTTTAATCATCGCCAACATGTTCTGTACTGTCATTTTCTATCTGGGAGCCCAGCAACTTGTCTGTTGATACTGTAAAGTTCTGTTGATGGTATGAGTATCCTGAGAGTAATTTTATGTAGTTTTAGTTTTGTTGATGTATAATTGAATGAATAGCGTTTTTCTATTATCCATACAGCATTCCGTGTTTCTGAAACAAATTTCAGAAGATTTTTATGATTTAATACATCTTCTGACTTATCATTACAGCTGTTGTCATAGATGCATGTACTATTTACACAGGAGTTCCATTTATATTGAGTGACATTAACATCACTGCTGATTTTCCAAAAATGCAACCTTGTAGCAAATATGGAAAGGGAAACCTTTGTCAGTAGTAGACAGAATAAATCCAGCAATCTGAATTCTAGTGCCCACCTGAATAATTTCAACAATAAATCATTAAAATACCACATTTTTCATGCCAATATTGCTGTAACCTGTCACCTTGCTTGGCTTAATTGTCCTTCAAAATTAAGATCATGAGATGGACAGTACTTTCTGGCAACATAAATTTAGTGCCACATTAATTCCATTAAGATATTGCACTTTTTAAGATACGATGTCGATGTTAATGTTGCTCCGAATTCCTGTAACGTGACCCAAAACGTCACTGTGATGTCGGGTGCAATACATATCAAATGTATTAGTGTGTATGTTGCCTGCACTAGGTAAGAAATTAAGGTATGGAATAAAAGGTGGTGTCTTTTCAACAGTATGACACAGAAAAACATCATTAACAGTGATGCATGGTTGTCCCTCTCAAGGGACACATTGGCGGGGCTGTTTCTCTGAAGAAAAACTACAAACCAGTCTGTCTGTCAATAAAGGGACATTAGATATATAGTGGCAAGGCTCTCTGTCTCTATCAGGTCACAAATGGTAAGACAGGTTACTTTCTGAAGGGACACTACTAGTCAGACTATCTCTCTCTAAAGGGACACTTGTGGCTAGGCTGTCTCTCTCTAATGGGACACTTGAGGCCAGGTGGTCTAGGGACACAAAGTGACCAAATTACCACTGATGGGACACATAAATGGCATGACTGTCTCTCTATGAAGTGACACTGCTGGTCTGGCAGTCTCTCCATGAATGGATACAAGCGATCAAACTGTCTATCAGGTGGAAAACTTATCGCAGTCTTTTTCTAAGGAGAAGCTTACACTTTGTGGAGTATATCTGAACACACATCGTGCTGCCTCTGTCTCTGAAGAGACCCTAGTTGTTAGCAATTCTCTCTCTGAGACATTTGTGACCAAGCTGTCTGTCTCTGATGAGACATTTGTGACCAAGCTGTCTGTCTCTGAGACATTTGTGACCAAGCTGTCTGTCTCTGATGAGACATTTGTGACCAGGCTGTCTGTCTCTGAGAAGACACTTGTGACAAAGCTGTATGTCTCTGATGAGACACTTGTGACCAAGCTGTCGGTCTCTGATGAGACACTTGTGACCAGGTTTCTGTCTCTGATGAGACACTTGGTACCAGGTTTCTGTCTCTGATGAGACACTTGTGACCAGGTTGTCTGCCTCTGATGAGACACTTGGTACCAGGCTGTCTGTCTCTGATGACACTTGTGACCAAGCTGTCTGTCTCTGATGAGACACTTGGTACCAGTCTCTCTGTCTCTGATGAGACACTTGTGACCAGGTTGTCTGCCTCTGATGAGACACTTGGTACCAGGCTATCTGTCTCTGATGACACATTAGAAGTAAAATTACAAACCTCCCTGAAACTAATTTTTCCGTCATTGTCCTCATCCACTTCCTTGATCATAGCCTTCAGCCCAAGGTGTGTTTGTGCTTCTCCCAATTTCTCCATCATTACTTTTAACTCCTCAAAGTCGATAAACTTGTCTCTACCTGTATCATATCTGGAACAGAAATAAAAATTTATAAGTCATAATAGAATTATCTAATTCAATCACGATATTGATACCTTCATCATTAGGCAGGTATAATAACATGTCAATGTTATATCCTCTAAGTGATTTTTTTCTCTGGTAAGCACATCTCTCCGTTATTTTGATAATAAAGCAAGATTTATATCACATAAGGCTGTGCTTGTAATTATTTTATTCTCTAAATACAGCATCTATTTTCCCTACTTTATGTTCTAGATGTTCATCAATTAACATTTTATTTCACTTAACAAATATTTTATTAAATAAACCTGATTTAATGGGAATAGTGCAGTAGACAATTCACTCTACACAAACACATAAGCACCAACCCAATAACTAAACTGTCCACATATGCAATTCCCCATTTCTTCTTTCTACAAACTTCGTAACAAACTGGGATTTTATTGATTTTTTCATTTAAATGACAATTTAGAACAAAGAAAAGTTATCGCTTGATTTTGGGAGAAATACCAAACACTTTCAACCTTGTAATACTGTTACAATATCCAGGCAATCAATACTTACTAGATCTTATTATAAAAAACTTTATATCTGAAAGAAATCAAGATGTCCTGATTTTGCTCAATGCTCCTGTTGATCTATGAACCTTGCTAAATTCAGACATTGAAAATCTTCTGAATCAATTTAGATATTTAAGTCATTATCAAAATAAAGGTTTCAATACTTTTTGGACTTTACATTAGAGCCTCACAAACGTACAGTATTTGACATTTTGACAAGCCCTTACCTTAATATATATATTTTCAGCTTCTATGTCCGGTGAACTAAATTTTTAAAATTATACTGGTCATCTGACTAAAAAGAACTATGATATAACAGAAGTAATGGTATTAGGGACAGTTAAAAATGATTAGAGCCGTTTCCAAATATTTCAGCAGTAAAGGTAAAAACCATTCCTCATTTCTATTTCTCCACATTCCTACCAATTTTCAGATATGGCACCACAGGATCTCCAAAAGAGTTTAACTTTTTTTCCCCTCTAAGATGGTGGCCATATTGGATTTTGGACAAACCCCATAAAGAACAAAACCTGGTTAGCACCGTCGCAGAATCATTTCTGCTGAATCCCATTTAAGTATAAATTGTGAAAATTTACACATGGCAGACTGCACACAACATTAGACAAAACACAATTACCCTTCAGGTCAGATGATCTAAAATTATATGCTCAGTTTTCCAAATAATTCTTTTCTGAATCTTTCCTTAACCACTGCTGTGAGTGTAGCTGTATCATGGGGTAAGTAGCTATAGTGTGTGTTATGTTACAAGTATAGCACACCCTATCATACAAGTGTAGCTGTCACCATCAGTATACATCATCAGCTGCTTGTAACTACCATGTACAGAAAACTCCATCACTATGTAAGTGTTTTCCGTCACCTCGTCACCTCCGTGACGACTCAAACAAAACCACTAATAAGAGGATCATCATTAACACATGACTGGAATATCCCTGACACTTTGTAAAACTAGACACACCATGTGCACCAGCTAGACTGGCTACCAGACTCTAAGTTTTGTTGAGAAATTCTCACTGCATTCCTGTGAACCATAGAACTCGGTGAAATATTGGAGCTTGTGTGTTAATTTTCAGTCTTTAAACCAGAAACATGTTATCTGTAATGAGTCTGTATTTATGTGCTATAGATGTCTGATATTTTGTTTGGAATAATATTTCTTTTTTCTTAATAGGATTAAAAACAGTCTTCCACAGCTCAATACTGTTCTGGATGTTTTTTGTTATCATTCATATGCAAAACTATTTATGAAAATTCTTCTTCAAAGTATAGATCTCCCAGAATGTTGATTTTCAAAACTTGTCCAAAAGCTCACGACAAGTCCTTGGTTTATTTTTGGGTGTTTGAACGTAAATGAGATACAGTGTAAATTCTTCATTGAAAATAGGAAAGTAAATAAAGTTGCATGAACCTGATAAACAATCTTTTTTACTAACCTTTTGTACAACATCTATAACTGATTTTTTTATCACTTATATGATTACATATAAATGGAGTTGGATCTCTCTTCTACAAGCAGAAAGTTACATAATGTTACTCTGCAATAAAGTGACCAATTAGATACACAGAAAATATAGTCCCAAATGTCTCATTTGTAGAAATTATGTAGACAGAACATCTTAAAAAAATCAGAATAAAATTTTTATTGTGATGAAATAAATGTTGACATCAGTTTTCTTTTCTACTAATGTACTTGAATATTCTGAACATTTCAGTAAAAAGCTTTTATCTAATTGTTTATGTAATTGTATAAAAGAATTGCCTATGATATGTACAACAGCGTGTAGTAAGTAGACTGACTTTTCCTCAGATTTTCTGCTGGTTTGACATCAAAAACTTTTTTTCATCTTCAAGATGTTTCATTTATTTTTGACTCTGGCTTATTTCCAGTATTTCCCAAATTAACACATAATTACATTTCTTTAATCAATTATCTGAATTGTCACGAGTCATTAACTTATAAATTCATCACCAGCAGCAAACACCACTGTGTCCCTCTAATGAAATTAATGGTTAAGGCATTAGGGGTGTAATTAAGAACTTCCGGTCAAGATCCAAATGTTTATCGATGTTTCTCACCTGGACAATATTTTATTTAGATTACAACAAGGCGTAGTCGATAGTCAACCCTAGAGCAACACTGGCATACAAGCGTATAGGCGCTTTACATCGAACATTGTCACTAGCCAGTCCAGAGAGAAAAAATGCAAATAAACAACAGTACAATTGCCAGTGAATACCTTGGTAAAGAAACAAGTAGGCCTAGTGTAAGTGTAAGCCCAGTAAAATAGATCGGTGTGTTGATGACAATGCCCTAGAATAAAAAGAAAAACACAATGTCCTACAAACTGATACAGATGGATGTCATATGAGCAACAGTTTGTAGGTTTTCGTTGTTTGCTATTGGCGCTAAAGACTTGTAAGTTTTGTAGTCTGGGACCAGTGTAACTAACTACTAACAACTGCCGTTGGGAAATCACGAAAGGTTCGCTACCTGCACAATCCGTGTCACATGCAATGATGTCTACAATTCGTCACTGTGGTAGAATTAAGCCCACTCTCTCTAATTTTTTAAACTAAGTTAGTTGAAAGTGTTTAAGACATTCAATTTGTGGCAAAGCATTGTATCTTTTCTGAACTTGTTGTTCTCTATCGTGCACAGACAAACTTTACTCAACTGTCACCTTGGCAACAACTGTAGAGATGGATCCTCGGCCAGGATCGAGCTAATATAATTGTTCATGCTAAGAGCCTTTATATTTTTATCTGTGTAGAATTGATCAGTTTGATGAATCAATGTACATATATATGCCAAATTGATTTTTTCTCTTTTTAAACAGCCTAAATTCATTTAAAAGTAAATCTGAAAATAACATTTTTTTGGTTTCAAAATCATATTGATTTATTAAAGTAAAAAGTCGTTCTGTGCTGTTAAACCACTTCATCTTCGCACTCTGATCAGTGTCTAGTGTGACGGCCTGTAATTAAACTTGTCAGTTTGAAAAAAAAATTGGATAGAATCATAATTTCCCTTGTTTTCCATATCTGACATAATAGTAATGAATAAAATGCACAAAAGTTTGTTTTTGTTGAAAAAATGAGGTCATTCATTTAGCAAGTTAAGGCCTTAGTCATCCACTAACTACCGTTTGAATATATATCAACTCCAAAACCAATACAAATATTTCATTTGAAAAAAGAAACTAAGCTAGAAAGTTTGGAAAATAAGACATTCAGTGAATGCAATTTACATTTGAGAAAATGCCACCCTAAATGGTGTACTTTGGAGTAGAATCAAGGGCATGAGGACACAGCAGTTCATATATATATATATGTCTTTTAATCCTGTTGACAGAAATTCTTAACAATTGTGAAAAAATGCTTCAAAGGTAAAGAATCTTAAATATTCATGATTTGTTTATTTTTATCTTTCTTCCCATTATATCCCTAATACCTTAAATTGTTATTTTTCACACATAAACAATTTTTGGCATTTGTTTGTGTTTTCAATACTCACTCAAAAAAGCCACATTTATTTGCTTTTATGTTGGTGTTAATTACAACTGACACACACATTGTTCTTAGAGTTTGAAGTCTGATTAAGTTAACATCTGAAGAATTCAGTCCTTAGGGTCAGAGATTTTTTACTCATCTCTTTCCCCTCTAAGATCCAATTTGAATTGTGATAAAAAAAAACCCACGCAATCCTGAAAATTATACAACAATTTGGATAGGTTCATAAAACAAGAATTAATGATTTGTTGCATATTTTACAGGTGTTAAAGGGTTCTAGTTAAACATCACTGGGCCAGGTGGTCACAAATTCACAATAGGCCCAGTCAACCATTTTATCACTCATCAACCGTAATATCAAAGCGTGTGGTAATAGAAATTTGTTACTGAACGTAAAAACATGCAATCCCTCATTCTATATAGTGTATCTACAGTGTCGTTTTACACAAACTTAAGATAAACCCAATGTAAAAGTATACCTACTGACAGAATGTCAAGTGTTCTGGTGCCCTGACACACGTGGCAGTGACCACCAAAGATAGCCTTCCACAAATACTGAAACCTCATCAGATTTCTCTAGTGATAGACATGAACCCTGTATCAGCACCATCCCTGCTCTCTTTCATTCCACCAATCTCATTTTTAAACATTCTGCTATCTTTGGTTAAGACTATTTTAAGCAGCTATACAATGTTTTCCTTGTACTGGCCTCCACTTAGGTCTTTATCATACCAGCATCCCCATGGGTATTTCAATATCAGCATCCCATTAATTACAAGAAATTTGTTCAAATTAAAGCTGCAGATATATATAAATAGATTTCAAGCTAAATATAAATGAGAATGTGCCTTATTTAAATCTTTTAAATCATGTCGTAAAATGCTAAAAGATGTGAATTTGTGAACAGTTCTTTGTTAA